CACTTAGCATCATGTTTTTAAGGTTCATCTCTGTTGTAGCATGTGTCTGAATGCTGTTCCTTTGGAAGACTTAATAATACCCCGGTATATGGATAGTGCCTTCCTATTTATCAGCTGAGGGCTTTTGGTTGTTTCTAACTTTTGCCCATTGTGAATAATGTTGCTATGAATAGTAGTGGGCAAGTAGCTGGGTTTTTCTTTTCAATATTTATTTATTTATGCATACAGAACTGGGTTACAGGACAGAGGTGCAGGGCCTGTGAGAGGATTCACCAGAGATAGAGCGGAGAGCAGAATAGACAGGTCAACTGAAGTACACTGCTGAGGGGAGCAGCAGGCAGGCCAGGAGAGGTCTGCCGTGCCATGTTTGATCCCCTCTGGCCAGGGATCGAACTCACGCTGCAGTGGCTGTGATAGTGCTGTGCTTTAACCTGCTGAACCACCTTGGAGGGCCCCACAAGAAAGCTGTTTTTATCCACCATCCAGCTCAGCAATCAGAGGGATTAATGTTAGATTTGAGAAGAACTTACTAGCGTCCTTCTATCAGTGACCCAAAGAGCAGTATTTAATTTTTGGACAGTTATAATAACCAGAGACTTCCTCCTCCCTTCAATCCCCTCTAGATTGGGATAATGCCTGGAATACCTACTGGTATAGAAAAATGCTCTGTGGGGTCACCCTAGGGTCAGAACTCTGGATGATTTATTTTTAGGAGCTGAGGGGTGGGGGCTTGGTTGTCTTCCCTTGGGCTCTGGGTGTATTTGCCACTATTCCCCACCCCAGACCCAACTTTCTCCTTTCCCTGGCAACATTCAGGCTGTCTCCCTTTTTCTCTCCCAGGCTAAATTGGGAGTGTGAAGCTGCTCCTCTTCCCAATTTAGCTTTTGAATTAAAGTGAGAACTGAATGTGGCTGCAAAGCTGACTCCCATCTGTGTGTGTGAGGGAGAAAAAAGGAGAGCAAGGGAGCATGAACACATGTAGGGAAATCAGAGCGAGGGGAGCTGATGTGGGCAGCTGCTGTTCAATGCAGACACCGTGCTCACATGGCTCTGCAGAGACACTGGGGCTTGCAGGCTGGCGTTTTTCCAGGAGTGCCATTGGGACATCATTTGAACTGTCCACAAAAATATGCTGAACACATTGTGTGCCAGGCCCTGAACTAGAACTTGAGGAAAGTGGTCATGTAGACACACACCCATGCCAATGGCCCTGAGCGAAACAGGGTGATGGGTGATATCAGGGAGGAGAGCAGGATGCTAAAGGGACCTGGAGAGGGTGGCATGGGGGAGTGTCACCTAATTGAGGCTGAAGAGCACGCCGCAGCAGACCAACTGAGGCAGGGGAAGAGCAGTTAGGCAGGAGGCTAAGTATGCATGCACAGCTTGCTTGCACCTGTCTCCCCCTAAAAGGGAGCTGGCCCTGGGTGAGCTGCGCTCAAGAGCTTCACCTCCTTCTTGCCTCTCCTCTTCTTCCAAAGAGAACAAAAACAGATAAGAGTGACCTGGGCCAGACATGTTCATGAATCTCTAAATCCCTTCTGTTCAGGTTCTAAAGAGTCCAGTTCCTGTGTGTGGGTAAGCTGTGGGTCTCCTGAGTTGCCACTCAGAAAGCTGGACCCAGCAGGTCCTATATGATCATGGAACAGAAGAGATGGATCGCCATTGTCTCATGGGAGACAGGGGTATCTGCAAGGGTCTCTGTTTGGTTTAGCTTACCCACCCTCAGAGGTGCTGATGGAGTTGCTCTCTGGGGGTCCTTTCCTCTTCTTACTAGTTGGAATGAATCATGGTTCTGGCCGAGGTGGAAGGAGTCAAAATCTTGGCAAAGAAAGACCCTCTGTTGGCAGAGACAGGAATGATATCTCTGCAGGGGGTGGAAGGGGATGCATTTATGTCAGCTCTCGGGTTCCCCAATGACAGGGACAGCTAAGGGATGCTGGTGTAAAACTCACCATCAATATTTCAGCAGCATTATTTATTGATCACTCATCTGGCTGGGACAAAGGAGAGGGTAATTCATTAGGGATGCAGGGTTGGTGGGGTCAGTTTGGGAGAGAGGTCAAGGAAAGGTAGGCCACTGAAGAGCTCCATCCCTTACTCTGCAAAGTTAGTCTGGGTTCAAGGGTGTGGGGACTTGTTTGCTCTTTCCATTTCCCATGAAAATAAGGGAAGGTAAAGACAGAGACAGGTGGGACAGACCTGGGACTCTTAGGGAGCTCATATGCTCTTATGCCAGGAGTGCTGTTGCTGGGTGAGCTTCCCCCCTTCCTGCTCAGCTGGGCCCCTCCCAAATTTCCCCCCACCTTGCAGTCTCTTGGCCACCTCTCCAGCGACTTCTTTCTCCATGCCACTTCAGATTGGCTCAACTTGGTTCCCTTGGGCTTCAGGGCTCCCCAAGGTCAGCCTGGTGACTTTCCAGCTCCCAGGAGGGTGACTGATCCTCACCCAAGGGAAGTGCCTGACCCAGGGATCTGACCATCATTGTAGAGTGGGAGGGGGATGTGAGCTTAGGAAGAGATTGCTTCAGCACGCATGACTGTCTCGTCCACTTGAAAGTATGTTTTTTTGTGCACTTCCAGCTGCTCCTACTCTAGGGAGTGGAGCTGGAGGCACCTGCTCACCAGTCCTTAAGCGACTGACTGCAGGAAAGTCCTCGGCCGAGGCAGGGGAATCCCACACTGAAAGGGAGCTGCGCCACCTAGTGGAATTTTTCTTTTTTGCAGACACTGAGGGCTTGTCTCTCTCAGGCAAGACCCAAACAACTCTTAGGACTTGAAGTACTCTACTTCTTCAGGCAGACTTGACCAGCTCAGTGAGGTAGAAACTAAGGAGAATTCTGGAGGAAGATTATCATGGTGTAGCTGAAATTTAAGGCAGCAGACAAGCCAGCAGGAACTTTTGACCTGAAGAGAGTATCATCCTATTATCCTGAATGCCACAGATTCGGGCACTCTGGCCTAGAGCCCCCAGAACCTCTCCCTCTGCCCCCCTCCACCCTCCCCTCTTTCAGGATATATAGAGTTGGGCTCAGCTCTGTTGGTCAAAGAAGAACTAGTACAGTCTGTAGCTGCTGGCTTTCCTCTCACATCAAGGCCTGGAAGTCCTATTTTAAGCAGCTTCTCCAGGTGGGGGCACCCACAGGAAGCGGGGGGTTGCTGGCTAAAGCAGATTCAGGCCTGAGATCCTTGGATAGGATGGCCTCAGGCCTGAAGGGCCTCTCAGTGTCCCCACGGTGATCTGGGCTTGGACCACAGGCCTAGAGCTTCAGCCCCCCCACTGCAAATTTCGCTCTCAATGTCTGTGGGGATCCAGGCAGTGACCTCGCACTCTCCACACACCTGTGTTCTGACATCACCCTCACACCCCCTCACCTAGAGAGGTCTGCTGAGCCAGGTGCCAAAGGGCTGGTGACCCCTGGAGTGAGACAGCAAGGGATCACCAGATGCAGACACAGCCCACCAACCTTCCCTCCTGGGGCTTTCCATTCTTTTTGTCATCCTCCATCTCTCCTCTCCTCCCCTGTACCACAGGGGCCAGGCCCTGTGCCGAGTTCTTGGAGACAGCGTTTCCATGGCAACGGACCACTGAGCTTGGAAATCTGAGCCTGTTCCTGTTGATATGGAGAAACCTAGATGTGCAGGGAGAGCCGGGCAGTGCAGGAGCTGGCAGTGTTCTCCTTAGCCTCTGGACGCTATGGATGTGTGTGTGGATCTGAATGTGAGTGTGTGTGATAGGCAGCAAAAGGAATGTAGGTTAGGGAGGGCCTAACCTGGTTTCCTGGCTGGATGGTGGCTGTTCTCATGAGACTGCGGCATCCTACTCTCTGGAGATCTTTCTAGAACAAGGGAGTCTCTCCCTTAAATTCTACCCTGACACCTTCCCTTCTGTGAGAGAAGGTGGCAAACTGCTCAGAGGTCAGTGGTAAAAGGAATGGTCTTCAGAGGACTGCTGAGTGGAGGATTCCAGGGAAGGCGAAAGGGTGTTTCCCACACCCACCTCCCCTGCTACCTCACTTCAGGAGGCTCTGGAACAGCTTGGTTCAAGGGTGGCAGGAGGACATGCCCCTGGGATGCCAGGAAGGGAGAGGAAGATGTGGTGTAGGGGCATTTTACCAACCTTGGGGGCCAGAGCCTGGGGCTAGGCCCTCACGCTCACAGACCACCTGGTGTCTATTCCCAACATTGTCCTTCCTCAAATCTGAGCCCTGGTTCATTCCCCCTCCCACCTTCCTTTGCTGGCTCTTTTCCTTTGTCAGTCTCCCCTGAGACAGCTGTCCTTTTCTTTCTCTGGGGTTGGACCTTCCAGGGGCTCATCCCCACCCACCTGTGCCACCTGTGCTTCTGGTAGTTTTAGGCACAAACCCCACTCCCAACAGCCTCCCCACTTCTCTCCTCCAGCCTAGCCCCACAGCTCAGGGCTGGAGCCCTCCCTCCTGTGGCCAGTCTGTCCTTGTGTGTCCCTGGGGTCAGACCTAAGCCATGGGGCTGATTCCTCGGTCTTGGCTTCCCTAGCTCTCCCCTTTCCAACCTGCCAGTTTGCGTTCTTTCTCCTCTTCCTCCAACACTTTCAGCTTTTCTGGGTACAGTGGTCATCCAGTCCCCCAGCCTGGCCCAGCAGCAAGTGTGCCCCCATATTTCATACTCTCTTTCCTAGGGGCTTCATCAGGGCCTCTGTTTCCAGAGCTTACATCTGGTACTTTCTGTGAGGTATCAGAAAGTCCACTGGGGTTGGGGGTCTGAGGACAGAATTCTGAAGGACAAAACAACCCTTGAAGGCTGGGGCCATTAGTACCCCTTCAGTCCTAACCCCTTCGAACTGCCTGGTTCTGTCTTGAAACCCCTCCACCTCCAGTATTTCTCTAGGCTAAATCAGCTCGTCTACTTCTTATCTGGGGATTTACTCTCTGACTCTGCCCTCTCCTCCGAGCTGGGCTGTTTTTCACTTGAGATCACTCCACCCGTGGACTGGAGCACAAGAACGAAGCACACAGACCAAACAAATGAGGCGCCAGAGTTTGGTTTATTGGCTCATCCAGTGCCAAAGGTCCGAAGGGCACCCTCTTTCCACAGGATAGGGAGCCTGGGACTCCTGAATTTGTCTTCTTCACACATTCTTCCAGGCCCTGACTGAAGCCGAGGCAGAAGCTGGGGCAGGGGGTGGAGCCAAGGCTGGGCTCTGACAGAGGTCTGCTCACAGGGACCAGTCTGCTTGGTACAGGACGAGGAGCATGGGGGGAAAGGAGGGTGGGTCCCTCGTACAGGGAGGAGAGCCAACTTAGCAGGGGCCTCTACAGTGGGCCCTGAGGGATGGGGGATCCCAGCTGGTCAGGAATGGGATGAAGGAAGAGAGGACCAAGGGAAGCGGAAGGAGCAAGAGGTCCTTCACTCTCTCGTGGCCTAGGATTTTATGGGGTTCAAAGACAAAGAAGGGCTGGGCAGAGGCAGGGGAAGGGCCAGTTGGCTGTGGTGTGAAGGGTTGGGAGAAGTCACTGTGGAGAAAAAGTCCTTTATCCCAAATCCTCCAGCCCTCGACTGACCCAGAAACACACACACACACATACACGCTCTCATGCACACCCCTAGAACCCTGCCTCTGTTTAGAGGGGACATATAGCACACAACCCTACCCCATGCCCCCAGCTGCACCTCTGGCCTCCAGGTCCTGGTCCCTTGAGCACACAGAGTCGATCCTCCACTCACAGCTGCCGCCGGGAGCCCCTGCCCAGCCTCCCCGAGGCTTCCCACCCTGGCTCCCTCTCTCCCAGGTGCCTTCAGGCCGATCTCTGGTCTGTCTGGGTGGTGAGTGCCTCTGCCCCCAACCGGGGTAGGGCCGTGGAGGCATGTTGGGACCTCGCAGAAAGGGATGGCCATGGTCTTCAGCAAGGCACTGGGTGGGTGGGGGCTAGAGTGGGAGAACAGCGGTTCAGGCTCCGAGGAGCCCCCACTTCCCTGGGAGGCTCAGTCTCAGCCCCTGGTCCCGGCTGTACTCTGAACCCCACAGCAGGGCCTCCCCCTTCCCAAGCCCTTCCAGAGGTGTGGGTCTGGGCAGGCCCTGGGAACAGACATCTGAGGGGCCCTGGGCCCGAGACACCTGGGCTATCGGTACAGTGTGGAGCAGGGGCTGGGGCTGGGCCCTTCCACAGGTTTCCTCCTCACTGTGCAGGCTGGGAGGGGGCTGTTAGGGGACCTCAAGCTGAGTCGCCTCCGCCAGAGGTCTTCTTTTTGGGCCGGGTCTTCAGCGTCTTGGAAGCTACTGGCTGTGGGAGGAGAGAGGAGGACAGAGGGCTCAGTCTCCAGCAGCAGTCTTTCCCCATCTCCTCCAGTGCTGGCTCACTGGCCTGACTCTCACCTCAGTTTTGGGCACTTTTTTGATGGATCTGACTTTCTTCGGGACCTTGTCTCCCATGTCATCCTCAGGGGTCTCTGTCCGGGGGTCTGCTTGGTTCGTGCTAGTCCTTAAACTCAGGGAAGGGTCATCTCCTGGTTGGGGGGGAGTACAGGGGAGTCTGTACCTGGCCTCTTCGCCCACATGTCCCCCCCACCCAATCCCGCGTCTGGCCTGTACCTAAGTCCTCAATGGTGTCCAGCAGGCTGCTGGGGCTGGGTCGGAGGCGGCCGTCAGGCCCCTGCAAGGGCAGTGCGTCCTCGTCCCGGATCAGGGTCAGGTCCTGCATGCTGAAGCTTCGGAGTTTCTCTGACAGCACCCCCTGGCCCTAGGGTCACCACCACGCACCGGGAGAACCGGAGGAAGGGGCGGGGTGGAGAGAGAGGTCACCACGGTGCACTGGGCAGTCTCTAGGCTCAGTGCTTTCCCATGCTGTCCTCACCCAGGCCTATGACAGCATGGACATGCCAGGCTCATACTTGGAACAGATGAGGAAACTGTGGCTCAGTGAGTGGAACTCACTTAGCTGGAGGTCAACAGAACCAGGACTGGAGCTGCACAGACCCCAGTCTGTCAGAGCCGGAAGGCAGGGAGGTTGCAAGGGAGGGGGCGGGGGGCGGGGATGAGATGAGAAGGATGGGCCCTGGGCACGCCCCCATCTCACCTTGGCTGCAGCTGTGACTGCCGCATTAGCGGCCAGGTTCAGGCCCCTCTTGCCCACCCTCATCATGGTCTCGTAGCTCTTGTCTCTGGCCTGTGTGATGTACTCATCAATCTCCTGAGGGGTCAGAGGGCAAGGGGGAAGAGGTGAAGGGTGGGGTCTGTTGGCCAAGTCTTGCTCTGCCCTCGTTCGCACACTGGACAAGGGCACTCACTGCCTGCTCCAGGAGGCCAGGGCTCTGCCAAGTCACTTCAGACTCTGGCACCCGCAGGGAGGGCCAGAAATGTAAATGGCTGCAGGCACTGGGCTGCCTCAGGCTGGGAATCGAGCTGAGAGAGGGGGCAAACCTTCTCCTTGTTGGACAGGGTCGGGTGCACGAACTTGCGGTAGAGCACGCTGGAGCCCTTGGTGTAAGGGGACAGCAGCCAGATCACAAAGGCAATCTTGAGCTCAAAGTAGAAAGGGAACCTGTTGGGGGGACAGAGGCAAGCAGCAGGCCCGGGGCAGGGCGTCAGGTGGTGGACTGAGGCCCTGCATGACCCTGGCCGGGCCCCCAGCTCTTACTGTACTGGAGGCCCTGTGTGGCTCTTGAGACTGGTCATTTCTAGTCTCAGGGAGACTGGGAAGCTCAGCTGAGACTGTAGGTGGGCAGTGACTGCAGAGGAGAACCCTCACAGCAGGGGTTGAGACCCCACATTCCTCTATCCTAGGTCAACTCCAAGGGGAGCGTCCTACCATTCTAGTTCCCAATCCTCATCTTCACCCCCTTCTCTTCTTGCTCTCCACCCCATTCAGTGCTGTGCTCATCCTCCTGTGAGTCCCTCCCACCCCGCCATGAAATGTCTCTTTTTAGGATTGTTCTCCATGGCTCCTTCTCGGGCCACAAACTCCTTGAGGAAGGTGTCCTTCGTCCTCCCAAGCGCTCATCAAAGCTTCCTCCTGGGCTTATGTCAAGAGGCATCATTATTCACTGCCCTCAGTATTTAACTCACTGCTCTTTCTTGATCTTTAGGAAGTTTCCTAAACTGCTTCTGCTAAAACTGTTTTCTCAAAGGTCAGAGATCACTGTGATGATCTCTCCTCTTCTCCCTCTCCTGACCTTTGACGTCCTGTGTTATGTGAGTGCTCTCTTCCAAGAGGCAAAGGCATTTGCTAAGTCAATAAACCTTTTTGAGTTCCTGCTGTGAAAAGATAGATGACAAAGAACTTCCCTGTCCTCAAAGTGCCCATGCATAGTCTAGCAGCGCCTGGAAAATGTCTCTGATACAAGCATTTCAGTGTTGATAGGAGTGAATCCTTATCTATTTTATAAATAGGGAAACTGAGGTCTCGAGAGCTATGACTCTCCTAGGGTCACAGAAAATCTGGCAGAAGCAGGTTTTCTGAATTCTATTGTGCTCTGGCTGCCACCAGAAAGACCGGTAGGGATTATATCTGTTCTTATTCTGCTGATCAACTCAGGTAGGTGGGAGGAAGTGTACCCAGGACCCTATGAAACTGTTACTGAACCCCACCCTGGGTCTCAATCTTAGGTTTGGCTAGCTGAGAAAGTCAGAGGCCTCGGACCCCAGGATGCAGGGGGGAGGGTGGGCCTCACCAGGAGAGCACGATATCTGTGAGGGTCTCAGCTGTGGTAAAGAAGGCAAAGACGATCCAGTACATCATCCATTTCACCTGGGGATACAGAGAGGAGCTCTGGCAGGGTCTGGAGGGAACACCCAGGACACTACCTCTGCTTGCCAACTATGCTGGGGGTGCTTCGGGGCAGGAACATGCAGGACCTCAACTTTACCTGTGGAACACACCAGGGCACAGAGGAACGGAACACACAGAACCCCTCTGAACCAGGGTCTCATCCCCTCTGAGGATACCGGCACAAAGCCACTTCCATCTGTAATGTCGCCCACCACCCTCCCTTATTTCTGTCACATGGGCTGGGTGGAAGACGAAGGGTATAACACTTACATACTCCTTTACGTTTTTTGTCTTCACGGCCTTGTAGGAAGAGTAGGCTGGGTACAGGGTGCCAAAGATGAGCCTAGGGAGGCAGGCATGGTTACTGGACCCTACGACCCAGAGAAGTGGCCTTTCCCTCCCTGCTTTGCGTCAGTGCCGGGTAGGTAAGGGAGAACTCCACAGTGCCCCATCAGTAGTCCTGACAACTTCAGACAAGGGGTTAAGGCCAAAGCCGTCAAGCGCTGGTGTTTGCAGCATGGAACATGGAGGCTGCAGCCAGCTAGGCCTTCCTCCTGTCTCCATTGCTCAGTTTTCTCAGCCCCTGAGAAACCAAAAGACCTAGCACTAAAGGTCCAGTGTGGTCCCTTGAGTTATGATCCTTGGTTCTCACAAACATCATAGAGAATAGGTATCCGGCCACTGCCATGAGTGTGTTTTCCTTCTTTGAACTTCAAGCCCATTCATTCCTACCCATCTTTCCTCCTTACCCTCTACCTCCCTGTTTCTGAGCCAGCCAGGTGTGCAAGGGAACCTGATAGCACTTATAGGACACTCTGCCCTGTATCAGAGGCAGTACTGTGGTCCTCCGCACCTGTAAAGCAAAGGGCCCAGGGGCAGGAGGCCCTGGGAGGGGCCAAGAAGTCTATTCTCCCAAGTAAACACCTGCCCTGGCTGTGGGGCCCTGGCTAGAATGGGGCCTCATGGTGATACTATTTGTGACCATATATAGGACAAAGGTGAGGGAGTAAGAGAACTGATGCTCTGCAGGAGTTCAGTCCAGACCAGAGAGAAGCCACCACCCTCAAGGCCACGGTGGAGGTACTCTCCCTCTGTCTGGAATCTCCCTGCTGTGGGACAGAAAAGGGTCTCCTATGGGTATAGAGGAAGTCAAAATACAAGCACATGGCAACAGTGAGCAGGAAGAGGGGTGATGGGGGGGGTAGTGTTGGAGGGGGTTGGCAGATGCTGAGCTCAGTATCCCATGGTGGAAGCTGAACGACAGGAGATGGCTAATAGAGGCAGAGGGAGAGGATGGCTGGATCTGGAGCAGGCTTGCCTGGGAGCCCAGTCAGGGAGCCCCAGCCAGTTGACAATGTGTGAGTGCGGAGTCCTGCATGCACCTGCCAGGAAACTGGCCTGTGGAGATGGGGTAGGGGGTGCACGACACAAGGCCAAAATCTGGGGTTGCGGGAGCAGGGCTCCTTTTTGGAGCCCTGGGGGTGGGGGGGGGCATGGCTCCTGGAAGTGGCTGGCAGCCTGGGCTGAAGGCCACCTAATGTCTTCCCGTCAGTCCGTGGCTCTCACCACCCCAGGCTGAGCACACGCGTCCTCTCAGGGTTACCTCCCACACTTTGTCCTCCCAGCATCCTACTGGCCAGACCCAGACCGGCTCTCTGGGGGTCCGTGAGAGCACGTGTGCTAGCCATAGTCTCCTGACAGTGGAAGAGGAAGGGGGGACCAGCCCTCGGGGGGCTGGCTGCTGGCTGGGCCCTCCGCGATGGAATGGCTGGCGAGGCCCTGCCTTGCTCCCCACGCTCTTCTCTTAGCCATCCTCTCCAGGGAGAGGAGGGTCCAGGAGCCCCTCCAGCCAAGGTCCGCTAGGTGGGGGAGGGGCCGCGCCGCCTCCCCTAGTAAATCAAGCCCTAAATCAAGCCCGGTTGCTCAGTCCCCAGGTTGGGGGTGAAGAACGAGGTAATTACAAATCAAAGGATGGAAAACCGGGCCTGCCAGGCTCCTCTTTAATGCTGCCTCCCTCCGGTCCAGGTCCCACACCTTCACGTCTCTGGGGACCCCGAATAGGGACGGTGTACTTTTAGGTGGCCGTGCTGTCGGGAGTCTCGGAATGGTCCATCGAGGCGTTAACACCCCTCACCCGCCATCCCTACCCCGCACCCGCTCCCACCCCGACCGCGCCCGCCCCGCCGCAGCCGCACTCACACCACCAGGCGAGAGATGATCCAGGAC